CTTACTTCTGTAACCTTACTTTCTTACTCCATTGCTGGTTGTGTAGCTGGGTGGCTGGCCCCTTGCATCCTCTTCCTGCTCTTGCTCCCTCTTCTTTCCTCTCAGATTTCTCCTTCTATTTATCCTTTCTACCTGCCAGCCCTGCCTATCCTTTCTCCTGCCTTGCCATTGGCTGTTCAGTTTTTTATTAGACCATCAGGTGTTTTAGACAGGCACAGTCACACAGCTTCACAGTGTTAAGCAAATGCAAGTAACGTACCTTAAAATAATATTCTACAACACTCAGCATTAGCTTGGCTTATTTCTAGCCAGCATTTAACTTAAATTATCCCATCTACCTTTTGCCTCTAGGCTTTTACCTTTCTCTGTTCTATATACCTTTTTTTAACTTCTTACTCCACGTCTGGCTGTGTGGCTGGCCCCTGGCATCCTCCTCTTCTTCTCTCACTCCTTCCTCTCTTCTCATTCTATTTATTCTCTCTGCCTGCCAGCCCTGCCTATCCCTCTCTAGCCTTGCTATTGGCCATTCAGCTCTTTATTAGATCATCAGGTGTTTTAGGCACGCAAAGTAACACAGCTTCACAGAGTTAAACAAATGCAACATAAAAGAATGCAACACATCTTTGCATCATTAAACAAATATTCCACAGTATAAATGAATATAACACATCTTAAAATAATATTCCACAACATATAGTCCTATAAGATTTTGTGGTGGAGTTTTGCAAAGTTATGTTTGAGATGGTCAGGTGCAGAGATATTAGGAACTAGTTTCAAATTTCAAGCTGAAATACAGTGTGCATAAGCCCTACTAAGGTAGAGGCTTTGTTTTTTGTTTTGTTTTACTCAGTTGCTGTTTTCAGTTCTCAGCACAGGGATTGGTAAATGGTGGGCACTCACTAAATGGTTACTGAGTAAATAATAAGTAGTTCAAAAGGAAAAATAAGACAGGTGTGGTAACCTCAATACTTGCTATATGGGGCTGGAGGACCAAGAGAGTTCAAAGTTAACATTGGCTAAACAGTGAGATGCTATCTCATAAAACAAAAACCCAAAGAGGCTAGATATGGTGGTGCGTGTCTATAACCACTCGGTAGATGGAGCAGGAAGAGCAAAGAGCTCAGGCCAGCCTGGGATACACAAGACCCTGCTGGTGCCAAACATCCAGCACCCACATCCACATAAGACCTGAGAAAGCTTAAAAAAGGTTGTAAATACACAAAACAGGAGCCAAACACAGCTTCCTAGTCTCACGTCTCTCATGCTGGCCACAGTATAGAGATGCATCTCCTGGCAGCTGCCTGCAGGATGAAGCTATCCACCAACCACCAAGCTTTACTGCCATACACTAAGCTGGACAGTGCCATTAGCTGACACAACAGTTTAAGATTTGTCTCATGCAATCAAAAAACAATACAAGTGCTCAGTAAAAACAGATCCAGAAGAAAAAACCTCTAAATAGGTCACAGTGTGTTTAAAAATATACATAGGCTTGGGAGAGAGAAAAGGTATATACAGTCACAGATTTAAAAAAAAAAAAAAGTTTAAAAATAATAATGTCAAGTCCTTTAAAAAGGAATGAAAAACAACAACAACAACAACAAAATGCATAAAGATGGGAAACACAGAGTCTGGATCCTGTATGTTTGTGTTTTCTTTGCATTTTCTGATTGCTAATGAAGGAATGACAGCTGCTAAGACACAATGGATTATGAAAACTGTTGGATTAAACCAACCAATCTATTTTTAAAATGTCTTGACTTCAAAATGGAAATCAAAAAAATATGTTACTTTGGGGAAGAGGTTTTGCTTTTATTTCCATAGGAAATGAGAGGTTGTGTATTCATTCCAGGTTGATATGGACCAGGTTTGATCAGGGAAGATTCCCTGAAAATCCTGGCTACAGACATAAAGAAATAAACCTAGAAAAACTACAAAATACATAATATATATTTTACCTGCTCAGTCATGAAACAAAAAAAAAATTATCTTTGGCTAACTTGTGTACAAAATACAATCTGAAGATGGAAGTTTTCCTGTGTCCCACCCAGCTCCACAGCCACACAGTCCCAAGTAAACACGCACCCCCGTTTGTGAAGCATATGTTAAAATCATGGTCAGCTTGTAACTGAATTATCCCTCAAGACTGGAGAGATTTGGTTACAGTAGTCTTAGAGGCTGGTCCACAATTACAATGGAGGACCTGGTGGAAGGATGAGGCTAAGACCATTAAAAAACGAAGCAAGGTTAGAGGTATGGAAATCTCCCAAGATCAACTTGGAGAGGGTAATTATGCTGATACACAAAGACAATCTTTATATGATAACCACACCCTGGCCTAATGGCGCACAGCAGCTTTGAATGCTTGGGACAGAATTGAAGAAGTAGGAAAGAAAATTGAGTCATTTACTAAAGTAATACAGGGCCCAAAAGAAACCTTTACTGATTTCATACCAAGACTGACTTCAGCAGAAAAGAGAATGATACCAAATTCAGAAGCTAGACAAATAATAATTGAATCTCTGGCTTTTGAAAATGCTAATGCACAATGTAAAAGGGTAATTAGGCCATTAAAGGCAAGATCAGCACCCTTGGAGGAATGAATCCAAGATACAATCAATATTGAATCTCATCATGATGAGGAGAGGTGATTTCCAGAGTTTGAAGAAAAATAATAATGTCAAATGTTTCAATTGCAGTAAAAAAAAGGTCACCGGAAAAAAAGGACTGTAAACAGAGCATTCCTAGAAACAATGTTTTTTCAAGAAATAATCCTAACAGAATGCCTCTTCCTTCTTGATTATGCAGAAGGTGTGGCAAAGTCAGACTTTGGACTAAGGAATGTAGGTCAACAAGGGACAGATAAGGTGATGCCTTGCCTTTGCAAGCTGGAAACACCCTGAGGGGTCCCTCACAGGCCCCATGTCAACAATCTATACTTGTATTAATATAGACATGCACGTTTCCTTTAAAAGTTTATGTATTTTCAGAACAAGGAAACCAGGCACAAATAAAAATGGATGGTCCAGATGATCCAGCATCTCAGAGAACCTATCTTGCAGTTTCCTCAGAGTTCTGCATCCAGAACAGTTTCAAGGCTGCTGGCTGAGATGATCCAACCTCACAAACTACTCCAGTCAAGACTTAACAATTATCCTGATTTTCTCAAGGTACCCCAAAGATTCAATGCCCACAAACAATAAGTAGTCTAGAGAGCAATGCCCAGATTCCCAAGAGATGGGGTATGGGTGAGTTTTGGTTATTCAATGGATTATGAATGTTTGTCATTATTTAGGGGAGTTGGTTACAAATTGTGATTGGTCATAGTCAGAAAAAAAATCTAAACAAAAGGATTTAATTCAAAGATCTCTTTCTAAAGGAAAAAACGGGGGTATGATATAGGAATGATAGGATAAGAGTGCAGATTACTGAATCTACTTTAACCCCCCAAAACAACTATAATCTCAAAATATTTTATATTGATATAGATTTTTGTTTAGTAATACAAATTTAAAGTTATTTTTTGCTATACTATATGTATGTTTCTACTCTTGTTTGGGGTATTGTACTTCTGCAATTCATTTAAAAATGTATAATTAAGAAATACAGGTTAATAGCCATCTACAATAATCAAACTTGTAGTCATATTAAGCATGTTTTCAAGGTTAAACAGATATATTTCAATATATTGATGGTCTTCAAACATTTCAAGGGCCTAGAGAATACAGCATTTAATATGTTTAGTTACCAGGTTTTTCTTGACAGTTAGACACATCTGCTCCTGACAGCACCAATTTACTTCAAAAGCAGATGATGGGCATCAAAGAACCTCCATATGGAGTTTGCTTTCTTTATGGCAAAAGATAGCCACTTAGGAAAAAAATAAAACAACAAAGACAACAACTGCCCTTGCCTCAACTGCTGACAGTATACTATTCAAACTGGACCATGAGGATGAGAAAGAAAGAAAAAAGAAAGCACCTGCCAAACTTTCCCAAGACAAGGTAAGACAGTCCTTCAAAATTTCCTGCTTCTCAAAAATGTCTGTCAGATATACTAGGCCTGTAGATCAAAGTTGGATGCCCCAATGTTACAGAAGAACTATGAGTGACCGTCCAGGCAGCCAGATGTCCCTGTCCTTGGAAACATTACACCCTTCTGGGGTTTTTGATGGAGTTAAAGACTAAATAATTAAACTTAAAGTTTTCCTTAGTTATAATAAAAGGTAAATTAGGTATAAAACTTTAGACTAATAGATAAGACAGATAATAGAATATTTTCTCTAAATTTGTCAAATACAAATGGACTGGATATTGTAACTGTAATTCTTACTTGATAACTGTCGTATATAATTTTATTATGTTAAATTCTTCCTTTTTAATTAGACAAAAAGGGGGAAGTGCTGTGGAATAATCCTTTTGTTCAATGTATTACTTTCATTGGTTATTAAGAGCTGACTGGCCAATGCCTAGGCAGGTTTTTTTGAGCAGAGAAAACACTGGGAGGATGGGCGAAGTATGAGCATCATGAGGAGACACCATAAAACTCAGGGCGAGCAACATGGGAAGTATTGTAAACAAGCTTCAAGGAAGCACATAGATTTATAGAGATGGGTTAATTTAAGTTATAAGAGCTAGCTAAAAACAAGCCTAAGCTGTTGACTGAGCATTTATAATTAATATTAAGTCTCAGGATGGTTATTTGGGTCATGGCTGGTGGGAAAGAAAAGTATGCCTATACCCTGCTTCAAAACAAGAAAACAGACAGTAAGTTACCTAGCAATCGTCAAAACCAGAAACAGAAGTTCATGTATAAAAATCATAGACTAAGAAACTTAAACTAAATCCATAGACCAGACAGACTAATAAATGATGTGAGGAGGTGAACTTCTACTTCTTCCTGACTTCTAGGTGGGAAGCCTAAGACATGCTCTGAGTTGCTTTCAAGTACAACAAACAACCATTAAAAGTGCTTTCTAATTACAGCCCCATTTAACTTACAGGTGATGAAATCTTCTTTGCTGTTTCTGTGATTACTTGTTCTAGAGGTTTCCAGATTTGAAATGCATAGCGACCTAAACAGTAAATAGAACAAATACTAATATATTTCTCATAATCAGTGTCAATCATTACTTTTAAGGTGCTTATCATACATCATTTATTGATATAAATGCTATTTCAAATTTTATTAAAAAGACTTACTATTTTCCAAACTTCTATTTACTAAATAGACTTTGACTTTAATATTATCATAGCCAACACGTATGTACCAAGTTCTAGTTCATGATAATAAAATCAGAAATTTTCAATGTTTATATGTATATTATACACTTATACAATGTTATAGAATACAGTAATACCTTAATACTCTTTCCACAATAAACTGACTAAAACAAGACACTGTTTATAATAGTCACTTATGATACTAAATGAGTAATTATATTGCCATTTACAATGATAATCACACTGAAATACATAGAAAACAAACACCTCACACACATGATACAGGACTGCAGTTAGTAGAGTAACCTGCAGAGCAAGAAAGCAACCACGTGTGAAGCTCTTAAAGATTTCATTATCTGTTTTTCTTACTTCCAGTCTTTATTTTCTCTAAAATCTTACTTTATTTTTATTTTTTTGTTGTTGTTTAAAGGTTTACTCTCATTTAGAATTTCCAGTGATTCCAGTGATTTCTCATCAATAAAACTTCTTATCACTCCTACCTCCAAGGTACCTCCAAAAGAGTTTGGAAATTATTTTCAAGTTGATATTTTACAGACTACAATTACTATTGGAATTCAAAGTATTAAAATAATGATTCAAATTTACATTTTCACAATTTCAAGTATCATATTAGAGAAAATGTCTCTAATTTGAGCATTCAAAAATTCCTAAATTTGATTAGGAAATGTAAACCCAAATAGAAAACACGTGTTTATATTATCCTTAAAAAATAAAAAAAAAAAAAAAAAAAAGTCTGTGACAAGAAATGATAGATGTTAAAGCAAAATTGCTAAACTGGTCTTTGCCAGAGATTTCCTATAAATTTACTAAAGACACATAACTTGAGTTTCTGCTCTAAAAACATACCTGAGTTTTTGGAAGAAGGACTAAAATCTTACTTAATTTCCCTTTCTTAAGCATGCTAATATTCCCTTGTGTTGACAAATAAGAATCTAAAGCAAACCAGATCCTAAAGTCACTCTGAGGGCTTCAGACAAGACCGACATCAGCACACACACTTTCTACTTGTGCCCTTCTCACCAAGTTGTGCTAGAAAACTGTGTAAGACACCACAGACCTAACCCCAGAGGGAAAGATCAACACCCAAATCTTCCCCGATAGTTTACCACTTGATCCATACATAAAACATCACTTTCAAATCACTCAGAATTCTTCAAAACCACAACCAGGCACAGCAAGCAATCTCCTGCCTCAGTGAAACAAAACAAACAAGAACAGAGAAGGCTTCGGAGGTGATGTCTGGAGATTCACTGAGACACAAACTAGATCTCATTGCTGCCCAAGGAAGCACAGCAAGGACAGCTTCTCCTAGCTCTTGCATTCAGTTTATTTGGCTCTGGGCAAGTGCTGCTATTCTAATTTGTAACATGAATTTCTTATATACAATGCACACACAAATTTTTGTCATTGTATGAAAGACAAGGAGACAAAATACATCTTTTTCTAAATTAAAATGAAAAGCTCACAGTTGAATTTATAATTATGCCTATTCTATAATAGTACTAAAATTGGTTTATGTTTATGACAACTGTCAAAATTTCTTTAAAAACATTATTTTCTTCTCATGAAAGCTCAGAAGTAGTTAACTACAGTCATGCAAACGGTGCAAAGCCCTGCTGGCAAAACGATCTAAAGGCTCTGAATCATGGGTCTTGTTGATTTTAAGTTCTGATTGTTTTAAATGAGAACTGTGTAAAATTAGATACTGTATAGAACCAATAAAACTGTCATTTTCTATTAGAACTGAATTCTATGACACCACAACAGAATGTAGCTTTATCCAAAGAAAAATGCAATTAACATAATCAAACACATAGGATTTAGAAACAAAAACTTAAATAACATGGTGTAATGGTTAATTTTAATTGTCAAGTTGACATAGTCTAAAATCACCTGGGAATAGTTTCAGTAAAGGACCATCTTAGATCAGGTTAGCCTATGGGCCTGTCTGTAGGAAAATGTCTTCATTATATTAACTGATGTGGGAAGACTGCCCACTATGGGAGACACCATTCTCTAGGCAGAGACTACTGAACTGAGTAAGAGTGGAGAAAGACTGTCGAAGACAAGCATGCATGCATTAATTCTCTTTCTGTTCTGACTATGGATGTGAGTAGCTGATTAAGATCCTGGCACCTTGATTTCCCTGCTATAGTAACTGTAACTGGAATTGTGAGCTAAAACTAACTCTTCTTTCCCTAAGTTGTTTATCAAGGTATTTTATCAAAGCAATAGTAAACAAAACTAACACAAGGAAATATTCTTAGATTAACATTTAGTTAGGGAATAGCTATGTAATTTAATGTTGTAAATTAATGACTGAATAAGTATCTTTAAAACTACCCTTTCTAGTAAGATAATTGTGGCAGTGAATTACACTCTCCTGAGTTTATAAACAAACAAACAATATCAATATGTTAGAAGATAACTAAGTAGTCAAGGAATAGCTATGTTCATCAGAAGGAAATGAGAGCTTGAAATGTGTGAGTCCATATAAACATGAGAGCATAAAGGAACCTCCATCACCTGTATTGCATGTTTTAAAGATTTTAGGACCAGAGATGGCTATGGGGGTAAAAGTACTTGTTATTCAAGCCTGACAACCCAACTTCCATCCTGGGAACCTCTGTGGTGGAAAGAGAACTGACTCCCTAAAGTTGTCATCTGCCATCTACTTATCCTCTTATCCTGTCCAGGCCTTTTTTTTTTTTTTTTTTTTTGTCTTTTTAAGATTAACTTTTATTATTTATTTAGGTGTATGCATGTGTATTTGTGGGCAGGTGTCCACAAAAGCCAAAGAAAGAGTTGACTCATCTGGAGGTAGCGTTAGAGGCAGCTGTGAAGTGCCTGATGTGGGTGCTAGGAACTGAACTCTGGTCCTCTGGAAGAACATCAAGTGCTCTAAACTGCTGAGACATCTCTCCAGCAGCTTTCTCAATTTATCGTGTACCACAGTGTGCACAACACCGTCAGAGGATAACTAGGCCACTGGGCCTCAGTTTTGACCTGGTTTGAGACAGAGTCTTTCTACTGTTAACTGTTGCACACGCCAAGTTAGCTGGTCCAGGATTTTCCAGGGTTCCTCTCGTCTCAGCCTTCCACTGTGCACCCGGATTACATGAGCTACTGTGTCACGCCTCTGCATGTGTTTGGGCTGTCTGAACTTGGATCTTCAGGCTTCCGTAGCAAGTGCTTTAGCCACTGAGCCATCTCAGCGGCCCATGCTACAAATTTCTTATCGTTGGACACTATAAATAAAACTGGAAAGAGCATGGCAGGAACATCAACCATTATGCAGCCAGCTGTCTTAGCTCACTGACCAGTAATTTTCTTTATTATAAGGAATTTCTTATCTATGTTTTGCTTGACTGATCACTGCTAAGTAACTGTTACCGGTGGGCAAGTGGGAACGCAGTGTGTCTAAAAAGCAGAACAACGTACCTGCAAAGGCAACAGCTGCAACGCCAAGTCCCACAGCTATCAGCCTCCTTCCCTGCAGAGGGAAAACATCATTTATGGTTGTGCACACCAGTCTATGAAAGTAGATCACCTTAATGACAACGATAAGTACAGCAAATACATTTTCTTCAAGTGCTATTATGAAGAATATCACTTAAAAATCTATACTACCTATGAGACTATAAATGGTGCTTGCTTTACTGGCTAATTTTCTTTTCTTTTTTCCTTTGGTTTTTCGAGACAGGGTTTCTCTAGGTGTAGTCCCGGCTGTCCTGGAACTTGCTCTGTAGACTGGCCTTGAACTCAGAGCTCCTCCTGCTGAAGGAGGCAGGGACTGGTGAGGAGCAAACAAGCCAGCCAGCAGGCACAGGACAAACGAATAAGGAATCAAGTTAGAGAGGTCAAGTGTCGTGCACATGTTCTACCCTTTTGACATTGTGACATGATAGCGTTAGCAAAGTTTACATGCAGGTACCAGGCAATCAAGTTACAAAACAACAAAAAACAAAAACAAAAACAAAGAAACCCCAAACCTTACAATTTAAGTAAGTTTATAATTTTGTGTTGGGCCAGGCCGCATGTCGATCACAGGCTGGACACCCAGTGGGGGACCTCACAGGGAACATCAGGACTTCAGCCTTGCTATGAATGACAGAGACACCACTGTTTCCAACAGGGGCCTGACATTATCAGAGAATTCTAAGGATCTCTAGTTGTCATGCTGAAAAACCAACAACAAAAGCTATACAGGATCAAAAACATGCACAGAAACGAATTAGAAGTATTTCAAAGTAATCCAAGAAATAATAATGGGGATTAGTGATGAAAATGGTAAACTTGTAGATTTCCGTATTTTGAAGGTAAAAAGATTTTCTGGTACCGTATGTAGTCTATGAGAGAAAAATCTAGAATGTCAAAGTTGCTGTCTTGAACAACTACAAAAATGAAATGCCTTTCCTGAGGGGTCAGACTAAGAGCTTTCCAGTAGGAAATCTGATGAGCTTTCTTTGGGCTTACTTGCAAAAACCAGGATGAACAAATAAGACACATTGTACAGGAATTCATTAACACTTGGTGGAGAGGGAGGGAAAAGAAGAATGAGCAGGATTAAGCAAAACTGTTCTTTGTTATCTGGCAGGGACGCAATTCTCAAGGGTTGATCGCAAGCAAATCACTTTTGCTGAACTCAGTGTTTTATACTGTCTTATTATTTGGTTCAATTTCCACAAAGAAAGCCTTCTGAATTTCAACAACATCAAGTAAAAGGGGAAACGTGGAGAGGGACTCACAAAGGCCGCTGACACAGCAGGAAGATGTGGGGAGAAGTCGGAAGTTGTTACAGGAGCGCTCCCCAAGAAGTTACAGGAGTGTTCCTCAGGAAGGAAGGGAAGAGGGGCCTGTGCTGAGCCCAGCTCAGGGGCTGGAAGCTGGGTAGCCTGCGTTACTATGGTAGCCCTGGGTTCCATCCCTACCATCCCAAAACTAAAAAGGAGGGGAGAGTGTTTATATTCACACACACAAAACGTCGGACCGTAAAATGACATTTGGAAGAGAACTTCCACAACTCTCTCACCTGAAAGTTTCAAGTGCATGAAGTCTAAACTGGCTAACCCACGTTAACCTACTCAGCCTTTGGCGATGCGGTTTCACTTCCACAGTGCGCGCATGCGCCCCCCTCCCCTCCATCTCGAGGAGAGGCAAGGCTAGGGCCCAGTTCTACAATCTGCTTTTAAGCCACTCAATTTCTTTTAAATCAAAGGCAAGTTTTGAATTCTACAATAACACTAATGAATAAGTGTGTGTGGGGTCCGCAAAACAGTGTAACAAAAATCAAAAGTCAAACACGGGAAACAACTCTTGGGCTCCCCCCAAGTGAGTTGTATTCCACTCCTCAGTGTAATGAATGAAATTTCTCCAAACTCAAAGCTCTTCTACATAACGATTTCTTGGGAATAATCTTTTAAATACTATTTTGGCTTTATTCAAAATAATGTTGTGAGTCTTGCCTGAACTTTCTCCTAGTAACATAAAAAGCTCTTTGCTCACATTACACTATAATGTGAATAAATGTATGTAGTGGAAAATCTTGCTCTAGTAACAAACCAGGCCTGGAAGCCTTAGAGAGATACGAGCTGTGGTAGGTTTGCCAACCACGCCACAAATCTGTTTCAGGTTCCTCCTTAACCCAAATACACAGTGACAGGCAGTCCATGGGTTGACCTGGCTAGACTCTAACTCTTGGAACTGCTGTGGAGGTGTCTGTAGACTCGGTCAACACTCATTGTCAGTTCAAGACTATCTGATCATCTATGAAGGCCTCAACCTGTCAACTGAAAGGCATTCAAAAAACAAAGTTGAAGGTTTCCCTGCGGAAAAATCAGGTCTGAAGTGGCGAGGCAGGGCTGGAGGCAGCTCCAGGCTACAGGCGCAGCTCAGCAGTAAGGAGTTTGCCTACTACTGAGTTTTCACCAAGGTCTACGGTTCAATCCCTGGCAGAAGACATAAAAACAAAGGTCTACGGTTCAATCCCTGGCAGAAGACATAAAAACAAAGAACAAACAAAAATTGAACTCCTATCTTAAAGTTTTCTGCCTGGGTCCTATCCTATAAATTTTAGACTTGCTAGTCACAAAATACACGCCAATTTCTTAAAATAAACACATGTATTACTTTGTTCTGTTTCTCCAAAGAACCTAACTAATACAGACTTCTGGTGTTTAAGCCCTGAGACTCACACATGCTCGGTAGTGTTCTACACCAAGCTATGTCCTCTTTTCAGGCTTACTCTTGATACATCTATTGGGCACAATTAAATGCATCTTTAAATATTTAATCTTGCTATCAGTTACATACCAGGCACAAGGCTAGGCCTGGAGATACAGATAAATAAAAAGATCTCTTAAATGTTATAAATTCCCTCAAAACAAAACAAAACAAAACAAAAGATATGTCTACCAAAACACAATAATTTTCTTTTACTCTTATTCCCTATAAATGTGTCTAATTTCCTGTAGAGCTTCCCAGATCTTTGAGCCAAAAATGTTTCTTAGGACAATCAAGGAAAGGTACTACTAATTGCTAACGGGTCTCAAGTCTACGTACCTGACCCTTTCAATTCTTAGATTATGTCACGGAATACGTAAAAATTGTTCTGGGTCATTTCCAAGAACACATAGTTGTAATCTATCCTTTTTGTTATCTCCTGCTATTACATCAGTGTGTCATGGTATTTAATGCAAGCTCAATCATTAAGTATATAAAATAATATTTTTCTAAGATTTTTAAAGCTTTCAACTTCTTTAACTTGTTGCCAGGAAGTAGTAGATCTGAGGAGCTTTAAAAAAAAGTTTTCTAGGGGCTGGAGGTTAAAAGCACCAACTGTTCTTCCAGAGGTCCTGAGTTCAATTCCCAGCACCCACATGGTGGCTCACAACCATCTGTAATGAGATCTGGCGCCCTCTTCTGTATACATAATAAATAAATCTTAAAAAAAAAAGATTTCTAACAATCTCCCTTGTGATGTGTGCAGAGGCCCACAATACTGTGTGTGTGTGTGTGGGGGGGGGTGTCTTCCTCTAAATCTGCAGGTGTTTAACAAGAGAGCTGAGCATCCACCGTCACACTGAGCAGGATAAAATGACAAGGAAAACAAAGGGACATGGAAGAAAAAGACCCCCTAGATCCCTCTCCCACACTGAAATTGGTTTATGTCTCTCTCTGACATAAACCTAAAGGATTCTGACCAGCTAACAAAACCACCTTTTTTTCCTGAGCTCTACTGAGATCCCAGGAACAGTAGGCCTTATTAACATCTTAAGGCAAAGGACCAAAGTACACCATGAACAGCAGAGACCTGGAAATAGACCTTTCCATGGCCCATCCTGGAGTAATAGCCTAAGATAATGATCACATAAACCACAAACAAATGGTGGCATGGAAAACCCCAATCCTTGCCTTTCTGTTGCTATATAACCCTGAGACTGCTGTACATATTCTGAAGACAAATTACAGACCTGTGGCTCTTAGTGAGACCACTGGAGAAAGCTCCTCTTCCGCTTTCATTACTCCTGGTCTGTCTTTACAGGGTGGGTGACTGAGTCTGGTTACTTGGGACTCTCTGGAGCCAAGGACTTTGTCTATCTCTGGTATTAGCAGCAGGATAAATAAGCATCCAAGCATTAAAGACGTCAATGCCATCCCCAAATTCTCCCCTCTTCATAGAGCTCCAGCTTCCTAACTCCCCCTCGCCGCCGTTAACTCTGTTCTATCACAGACCACATTGTAACGCCTGTCTTCACCACACCAGGAGGCTCCGGAGAATAAGAATCAGGCTTTGTTCACTCTCTTATTCTCAATATACAGTACTCAATAAGAGCTCAGTAAGAGTAATTACCTACATGGAGACACAGATGAGGGACAGGTGGTTAGGCATCTGAGTGTTTTGCTTCTAAGTCAGAGCCCTTCTCAGAAAAGTAGAAACAAAAATGAAGGATAGTGGGGTCAAGGGTGGGACAGGGAGAGAACGAAGATTATGTTGTTAAACCTAAATTCTGATTTGGAGTTTATTCTCACCTTGCTATCATCTTACGTCATTATAATGTGAAGAAAGAGGCCCTTTTCACCCAACCAACTCCTTTTGTCATTTTATTATTACATTGACTTCTATTATTATTATTATTATTATCATTACTACTGCTTTTTGTCCAGTGTCTTCCTGAACTAATAGAACTAATATGATCCAAGTTCCAAATTCTTTTGCTCCTGCTGTGGTTTAAATCTGAAATGTTCCTGACAGGTTTGTGTTCTGTATATTGGTCCCTTAGCTTGTGGCACTAACTTAAAAGGGAGATTGGGGGAACTTTGGAAGTGAGGCCTAGCTGAAGGAAAAGGTCACTGGAAGTGGGTCCATGGGGTATACTATCCATGCCCACATCCTGTCTTGATCTCTCCTTTCCTGTGGCCCAACAAGTGAAACATCTCTCCATCCACGTGTTCCTTCCACTAACACGCTCTGTCCAGTCCCACAGGACCAAG